CAAATGGCTGGAGTTATTTAAAGCCAGTGAAAACAGTCTGAAGGCGAGTAAAAGACAACAATGTCCTCTCGCCATCATGAAACCTGCTGGGAGGGGCTCATCAAAGGTGCTTTCAATGCAGGAAACCCTTTGCGTTCGAGCAGTTCCAAGATCAAGCCCATGCACAAAGAAAATGCCCGGCCTAGGCCAATGTGGGTGAGCACCAAAAGATTTGGAAATTACTGAGAGCATACAGAGCAATATCTGCTTTAAGAAAGACACAATTGTGACAGGAAAGAAGGACATGAGCACGGTCTCGTCCTTATAAACGAACATAGCCAACCTGTAGAGGTTTTAATAGGCAGATGAAAAAGTTGTTGACTTTAAGCACCATTTGTCTCTACGAAAATACCAGAACCTCGTTGCATCGCGGCCATCTCAGACCTGAACCATTCCCTTCAGACTGGCTAGCAGGACACTGTCCAACCAGCAACAACAGCTATTACATACTAACCCAATTCTCCATTCATTTTGTTTGTACCAAGCTCTATAAACTGGAAATTATATAGTCGCAGCAAAGAAATCCTTCTTGGCGTTATCCCAGTGGGAAAGAAGGTTTGCACCCCTGGTGACAGCACTGTTTTTGGCAGTATATTGGCGATAAATTTAGAAGTAAATATCACCAAAACACTTTGAGTGCTTCGAATGAAGCGGGCCCAGGCTCGGGGAGTGATAGGGGCGACAGAAGCTCTTCCAAATCGATCGAACACGAACCAAGCGAATATCAGCCAAGTGATGACGAGTGGTCTGCGCTCAGCAAATCAGGTGCAGAAGAGAAAGCAGCCAAAGAGAAGGCTATAAGGCGTCAAGGTATTCACCACAAGGACGATACAGCCAGATTGTGAGCCGTTATTAGATCCTCTAGCATAGGTCAAAGATCTCGAGTTAACCGACGAAACGACAGCAAGGTGGGTTTCTCCTTAAAATTAGGAGTCTTCATAAGCAGCAGGACGATCCTGAACTTCCAAACCATGCAGAAAGCCTAATGTAGCACCCAAGGCGAGAAATTGACCCTTTTGCGTTTCCGACATCACACTTACAACAGTTAAATGGCGTTTCCACCTCAACCCCCGACCTACCATTGCGAATCGAGATCTAGCTCCCCATTCGGGACATTCAAGCATCTTGTTCTGTCCCACAGTCAGTGTGCAACAGGCATATATTTGCTTGACAAGGGACGGAGCCCAGTCCTTGCTGGCACTACCAAAAAGGCCCCATTGAAAGCTCCAAAATACTGTACGGGTCCCGGAACCTTGAACGGCCCTCGGCCGAACAGAGCTCTTTGGAAATGACCAGGAGCGGGTAAGCAACGTTCTGGAAGATACTTCAGTGGACCAGCATGCCGGCCAGTGTTGTCACGTCTCAGAATACATTACGAACCGTGTCTCAAACTCGGGTTGAGGTCATCGGAGTGTCCAACCCTACACAACCATCCAAACCAAGCATTCATTCTTTATATAGTGGAAAATACAGCATAGTTGTGATCATTTAACTACTTCAAAGCAAAGGATACGACCTTGGTCTCGGTGTTGAACCTGTCGACCCTCCAAGTTCGAGTGTCAATATGCTGGGTTTCGACGAGCCTAACGCAAGCTTAATAGACGAAGGAGAATCGTTGGCAAAAGATCCACCGCTCCAAACTCCCAGCGAGAGTGACTGTCCCAGTTACTTGTGGCAGAGGTTACATCACGAACACATATTACTACTAGTATCTTCGGCTGTAGCTAATACTCAGACACCTCTCCAGCGTTATTGACCTATGAGTACGCTCTCTTGTTTGGCATACAACACTGGCTCCCAAAACATCAGATGGTGTCATGAGCACAAAAAGTGCCTAAGAGTCCAATCGATTGACTCTTAGTTCTCGTCGCAGTCAATTTCGCATCACAAGAGAGCGAATGGATATTCCCTCTCATAAATCCCCTCAGGGCGAGCTAGGCCTACGCGTCGCGAGGGTGTGATATGCATCCACGCGACGGACGGCCTGGGAAACAAAGGAAAGATGAACCCTTTACCCTTGGACAGGAGTGATAACTTTGCCAATCAAGGCAAACCTTTGCTCGTTTCAGATTGCCACTAGTTTGAAGTGACTGGTGCTGTGGAATATTTACAGATACAAGCAAACGACGACCCTACTACTCGAGTGGATTGAAGCCAAGGGTGGATGTTTTGTGTACTGCTGGCGAAGCTTTTCTTCAAGCGATGGAGAATAAGGAGCATGTTGAGTTTAACTGGGAAAAAGAGGCTGTTAGAGATCCGGAAAAGCGTTGGCTTACCGAAGGAGATGACAGGGTTGAGTCGTGGTTAGAGGTTTACCAGTCTGAGTCTGAGCAGGAGCACGAACCTTCGGTAGTCAAAAGAGTCTCTGCTGCCTCGCTTCAAGAAGTTCACTAACGGCTCCAATCCAGCACATGGCGTTTCGCTTCAACCTGGTCCTGGTGGCGATTGTCTTCCCTTGACAGAGGATACACCACTGAAAGCCAGAAAATACCACGAAGCATACTGCAGAAAATATTTTGTCATTTACGGAGTTGGGCCTGTACCTATACAAGGCAGCACGGTTGAGCCATATCTTCTGTCTGTATTACATCCCACGAACTCTTAAATGAAAATAAACTCCTTCGTCCTGCAACAGGATCAAGAGCCCGAGCCTCCTCAATACGGGTTTATCGCACCAGGCGACCAACCTGATTAAATCAAGCAATTTACCGAACATCAAGAATGAGAAACTACCCATTCGGAGCAACTTACGAGTCTATACAAGACCTCCTCTACAGAATTGCTACCGACTGTACCCTTTCTAGTTTGGTTGTGGTCGCAAAGAGGATTGGGACAGCACCCCCTGAGAACATGTCGCGGTGGACTTGAGAATTCCTTGTCCAAGAGCCAGCTTGCCCAGAATCACACGATGGACAAGGTTATGAGCCCAAATCACCTGCGAATCGAAGCAAGCCCAGATCTTCTGAACCGGGCCTTGGTTACTGTCAACACCACAATGCCAAGATGAACCGTCCATTCTGATACGATGCCATCACGGAGTATAAGAAGCGTCAGCAGGTGATCAGAAAGCGGGCTGTACCATCGCCTGTTGTTCTACCGATTTGGACAACGCAACACGGCCCAGTCAAGCATGTTTGAGGACGATGGTGTAGACGTCGATTTAGATGATGATTCAAACATCTCTCTGGAACAAACCTAGGTTCGGCGTCTCGCCCATCACGACAAGCTTCACAATAGCCCAGGTATATTCAAAGCAAGTTCGTAACTCGACCAAACCATGCTGTCTGTCTCTGAAGGAGCTGGAGACACGGTGGGTACCCCTGGGCTGTTGCAATCCTGATTGATGAAGGAGGGATGCCCATCCAGCCACCCGACACACTACACTGTCCGTGCCAGTGGAAGGCAAGCGAAGGGGGGAAGAATGAACCATGATGTCGACTAAATCGTTGAAAGTACCCGATGAGAAGCCCTCCGGGAAACACGGCGCTTTTTGGAGGGCCTCGCCAAACGTCATGGCCGCATGAACCTGCTTTTGTATTGAAGGTTGTGACAGACGATAGTGTCGTGAGACTACGGAGCTCCAGCCTTTGAACTGTAAAAACATTCTCTATAGGCAAGCCATCCAACTATAATCGCTGTCTAGCAAGTGAACCCACGTTCTTAGCAGAAGATCTCTTGCCAGTGAAAGGAGACAGAGAATTGACGTTGCCAATTCTCTTCGCAGCTATTGTACAATTCTCCGAACTGCAACTATGGCGGCAAAGTCAATTCCAAACACAAGACATATGAACCGTGATCCTCTGGCATCTTGCGTCACGGAGCTATTCCGACGCGAATGTTCATTTTGAGGTGCGTCAGTGGAGTGTTTTCTTCCAGCCACGCCTCTATACAGACCTCTTAAGCTATGTGACAGACTATCACTATCAACAGACTTACTGACAGTGAAACATTCGGCTTTTACTTAAGAGAGCTGTATGGAACACAGAGACTTCGCCCAACGATGGGGACGAAGGTATGTGGTCTCTTTCCTCTCTGTTTGTCGAGTTGGACTACCGAATACAAAGGTAGAAACGTCTCTTATGGCTAGCTTGCACAACGCAATGCAAAAGCTCCAGCAACCCGAACTTCTGCGGCGTATGGGCAAGTATCTCCACGGGTATTTTTACAAACTGGCGATTTTACGCTTCAATATGCCCACCCTGGTGATAGACAAACAACGAATCGAGTAGAAAAGGGGACATGATGGGTTGCATGTCTCCTGTTGGAGGAAGGCGGAGCGTAAACAATTGGGCGCCTACAACTTTCTCGAACTGAGACGTGATCTGCGGCTACAGAGGAAACCGACGAAATCAGCTCTAGTAGAGCCTGCTACTACCAACAATGCCACAGCACACTACATTACTGTTGCTGCTACTAAGAATACTACTGCTGAGGATATTTCTACGCGAGCGGAGAAACGAAAACTACAGAAGAGCAGATACAACTCGGCATGAATGCCTCGGCCCAATTGTTGAGCAGCTTCTTCCTGGTGCAGTAAAATGCAAGCCAAGAACACGCGTTCGGCTTTCTTTAACCTGAAGATCTCAAGACTTGATGACTCAAACAGCCCCATCCAGCCAGTTCAACCTCTCCTCATTGTCCCAGTCCCTCAGAAGCACAGCATAGCACAGCGCAGCCACGATTCACCCATAAGTCACCAAGTGCTGCCTGAAGTGTATTTTTGAGGGGGATGTTTTGAGTTGATAGACCTGATAGCTGATGCACAAATATGATAATCTAGCCTATTACCTTTCTGTATCTGTTTTGAGTTTTTATGTGCTGTCAGTAAAGTTTTGTGGTTGTAGCGTTGTGAGTCATCTTTTCAGTGTAGCCATCATGTATAAGACGTCCCTCACACCTGCAACAGATCATCCTTGTCATTGCTTCCGTTTCCTAAGATTGACACAGACCTTTCCACCACAATGTCTACTGCGGCTTCTCCTGTTGCCCAAAAGGCAAGCCTTTTAGGCCTTCCTTTGGAGCTGCGCGACCAAATTTATTACTACTACTTCAAGGCAGATGGTGGCTATGTTTCAGACGGCGATAAGCTGCTCCAGGCCAGCGGCCAGGCAGTTCAGATATCGCTAATGTTAGCATGCCGCTCCATCGCCTCCGAGACGCGGCATCTCCCTTTCACCCTCAATACAATCACCTTCTCGACGATCTACAGGCCAGATTGGAGGAAACAGGCCCTCATGATTAACCAAATAGCTCATTACCATCTCTACCTCTTACAGGACATGGTCCTTCGACTGGGCCGGCTTTTGACACCTGATATGTACGAGAAGCCCAGCTCTGAGTATTCTCAATACATGCCTATCGTGATGGAAGAAGTGGCAGAGTTCATCGAGATTTGGGACCGACGTACTGAACTTTCTACCGAAGTGAGAAACATGCAGGCCTTTGTTGACTCTCAGGAATTTCGAGATGGTGCTGGATTCAGAACTGGAATTCCCTCGATGCGACTACGAGGAGATGATAGCACAGTCTCTCTGAAACGAACAAGGACCTACCTATTGCGGCAGCTTGCAGACAAGCACCCCACAGAATTCTCTGAAGCTATTGAAGATATCTTACCAGGGTGGAATAATTCGCATTCAATTGACGAATTCTTCAGTCTGGGGTTTGACTCATGGGCTATGCCTACTCTGGCTGAGGTCAGAAGAATGGTGAATCTAATGCAGAACACCAGGTACTGGCAGAATGGGGATGCGTGGTACCACTTACGCTATGGCCATCCAGACTACAATGGCCCAAAATATCGTTACAAACGAAAGTATTGGTTCTCGGCTGCCGCTCAAGCAATCAGATTCCTCGGGCAGCTTTCTCGACAACAGCGCCTTTTGATATCAAAGCTAATCCTTAATGAAGATCGACCTGCAGCTGCCTTTCCTGAGTCTCATATGATAGGCATGATTCCTTTTTGTCTAGAAAACCCGAAGCTCTATGTTGAGCATCATATGAACCTTTGGCGAAATATCCTTGCTAGAGGCGATGACTTCAGAATCCGAAGCCTTATGTCCCATATTGAAAGTCGCTTGAGGGTTTTGGAGGATACTCCTGAACTACACCAAACCGAACCTGAAGTTATTGGTCAAACCTTTACTGGCTTTATTATGCACCTCTTGGAGGCCTTAAAGGAAGGGCTACCTTCAGACTCATACTCCCTTATTATTGGTGGCTATCCTGATTTAAATCTTGCAACAGAGATCTTTTCAGTATCCATAAAGCCTTATATAGCCTGGCTCACGGCTCATACGGATTGCATTGCCCGTGGCCTGATCGCCCCAGCCAGCCACCACGACTATCCTTTTCCTAACAGAACGTCAGCCCAAGAAATAGCTCCAGTGAGCGAGAGAAGCGCCATCATTCAGTGCGACTTCACCCTTGACCAGCCTTGGGACTGGGAGACGATTTACAATGAGTCCGGAGCATCCAGGATTAGGACTCTAAACGATTTAACGAATCTTGGTGTGGAATTTGAGGTTGACGACTATCTTGACGTTACCACCAGTCTGCTTGATTGGGAAAAGGTCCAAAAAGAAAGCTATGAAATAGAAGAACTTTCGGATGGTGTTTTTGCAGAGCCCGATGACTATCGGTACTTGGCATAAGAGCAACGCAGGCAGTCAGCGGTGCGTGGTATTAGGCCGAGGCAATCGGGAAGTCGTCTGTGTTATGGTATATTTATGTGCTATTTATTCACACTTGTTTTCTTGCCTTGAATGGCCGTATTGTTGGTTCAGTTCAGTCAGTCCAGTATGTATGATCAACTTGTTGTCTCGGCGGCTTGCGACGACGTTCTCCTTTACAACTACCCAGTAATGTATCTCGACGCATGTCTTTGGTGATTGATCAATACATAGTTCAATATTGTGATCAAATGACTGGGAAACACCGAGCTCACTTCAAAAACCTCATTCTAAATGAATCCCGGATAGAGGCGCCTCCGCTTTCGTTCGTGGAGCCCCTACTCTCTCCAAATCGCGTGAGCGCTGTTTTCATGGACCAGATGTCACTACCTGTATGATTTGCAAGTGCCTCAGAGTGTCAAGGCCGGCAAGCAGGTGTTGAAGAAGGGGCTCACGACCATTGTTAAGGGCAAGAAGCCTAAGGGAAGGCATCACAACCATAACGTTGCACGCCTTCGAGATCTGAATCAGGTAATGCATGAGCATCACGGCATTTGACTCGACCAAGAACATGAACTTCACGAACGAGATGTAGAATTCGACTACCGACCCCGCGTGCCAGAGGAGTTCCCGTGGCCGTAAAGTGCGAGTGCACCCTGACCAAGATCGAAAACCTAGACGTGCCGCGGAGTGTTACGTCTAATGCGGAAATCCGCATTCACCATATAAAACCAGATCTCCACGTCAGCCGTGTTCTGACGCCCCATAGAAGTGGTTGACGCCAGGCTAGAGGACGTGGAGCGGAACAAGCTTGCCCTGTTACGGGCATGGCTACTGCATAGGGGTTCTATAAGGAACCCGGTCGACGGTATGTACCTGATTCTCAATGGGTTCGCGAAGAAGGAAGAGTCATATCATCGAATTTGAAGTAATACACTATATAGTTATGATCAGCAAGAAGACCAGGGCCGACCTCACGAAGCACTGCTACAACAAGATCGCAGGGAGGGGTGCCCTGAAGAAGCAGAACAATGGGTACAGGGTCCTTAAATAGCAGTAGGTCAGTGGTCTCACCTATGCCCGGCATTAAGTTCGGGAAGATCGACAAGTATGTAATAGCTGCCCCGGGATGGGAGATCGAGATCCCGAGGAGGGTCATGGACTGGGCCTTGTTCACGTACCTGGCCGAGTACGGGAAGTACAGCATGCGCAAGATGAAGAAGGGGGGTGGTCGTGATCGCGAGGTGTCTGTCTCAGGCGCCCGACAGCACGGTGCCGGTCATGGTCAGGATAGGAGCCCCACGCGTGATCTCGATCAGAACCCTACTCGAGCTCTGTAACCTAGCTAATCTCGGCTTCGATAGCGATGAGGAATGACCCATTCTAACCAGTGCGGGAAGAAGGAGCTGGAGACGATGTGGCACCAGTTCTAGATCGAGAACCCGCCCAATCTCAGATTCGAGAGCGAGTTGATCACAGGGGCGGGGATATCTAAGAGTCCATGCTCTTGAAGCCGAAGTCGTGGAAGTGAATATATAAAGTCATGATGTCGAATACCTACTGGAAGTTGTGCGTGACTACGGGCAAGGTAGGAATAATAAACGCTGTCACGGGCGGATGTGGGCCGGGGTCTACATTGGTTTATGAGGATGGAGATAATGCTGGGCATATGCGTGAAAGCTATCGACAGCATGATCAGAATCGCTTCTAAGAGGGGGTCAACCTCTCGAAAACGTGCGCACCCAGGAACACGGTCCTATTTGCGTGCTCCACGGCCCTTATGTACAAAGATGACCAAGGTCATGTAACAGAAGGAGATCGACATGTCGAAACACGGCGGAGGGCCTGGTAATCTGATTGCCATCAATACGCTTATCTGGAGTGATCCCGGGTCGTGTGCCATGGTCCGAACAACGGCGAGGCTAAGATCGGATACTACCACCCGGACAAGTACCTGGACATGAGCATCCACAAGGTCGCAGGTATATACATGAAAATGAACAATCCTGAACTCGAATACGCCCATCAACATGATTAAGAAAGCGTGCAGAGTCATGAGCATGATCGAGGTTATCGATGGCGTCGAGCTTACTGCTGGGGAGAGTCTAATGGTATCATACTTCTTCTCGTTCCTGCGCATGTATCTGAACGTGCGGAAGGTCGTGGAAAATGGTATGATCCTAACCGAGGTTGTGATGGATCTTGGACTCGACTGGTATCCGTCGGTCAGTGCTCTAACGTGAGGTGGTTTAAGACCGTACTTAGAGGCCGGAACGTCCGTATGCACTTGAATTTGTCGACGGCCATCAGCTCTGTACTGACAACATGTGTAATTGAATTGAGGGATCCTCCCGCCATGCCCTGGTACGACGCAGTCAGGACGGTGTCCGGAATATCAACACCCAGTCCTATTGTAAACGTGGACTGGCTTGTGCTACCGGCCGATAACGCGACCGGGATCGAGATTATAGTCTAGCACAGGTGCATGATGTTTATGCCAGACTCTAAAATGCAGCATTTTAAGTACGTGATTCCACTTACCGGTATGTGGATGTTGACGGGGTGGTCTATAGGCACGAAATCACGACCAGCTCGACGCCCACAACAGCACGACCAGGCCACGGGCATAAGCAGGAAATTCAACTACGACAAAGCCAGGAACACTACCAAGCGCGTCTAAGAGTACATGTCCCAGAGCACCATCCAGAACTCGATCATGGACAGCTTCGGGGCGTTGGACGCTGCCCCGTTCATCCACCCTCGTACTCTTGACTCAGCTGATGAGCACCGGCACGAAAGCCAGGCAAGTCCAAGGTCAGGAGCGGAGACGCAGACAATTACGGCAATAAGGAACCAAAGAAGAAGAAGTTTCACAGAGACACAAGACTGATTCGGTGGACAGAGGAGTTGGCTCAGGCTGGCTGCATGTCCTATACAAGACATAAGATAAGTTTTGGGTACTCAAGGGTATGACATGAGAGCAATATAGTATTAGGTAGCGTTCAGACTCTGCTTCTATCAGTTGATTTTCTCCATTTCTTCGTAAGTACCAAAATGAGAGATTTGAAGACATGTTAGTCTGGGAGGCCGACCATCATATGACGTTGCCCCTCACGAACATCTGCAAAGGCCTCCAAACCTGCCAATGAGAGGCCAGACACGGCTCATATGCAAACTCGCCATTGATCAGCATAAATACCCAGTGCCTGCCTCTCCAATTTCTTTTTCCCTCTTTTCTTTCTCTTCATCAAATTCACTTTTGTACTTTCGAGACCTGGTGTCCCTCTAATAAATCCTACATGTTAGCACCACCAGGAAGACCACGATCTGCCGAACAACAGGATTGCCATCTCCGGCTGTTATTGTACATAGCATACTAGCTACATTGCTATGTATGAGAACGGCAGAAGATGCCAATCCTGTTATTTGGCAGATCGTGGTCTTCCTGGTGGTGCTGGCGACCCTCTAAGCTTCGTCGCGCATGGTACTTGGTACCTATCATGCGTGGTGAGCTTGGACGCGCGCGAACGTAAGTTATCTTCAGTGAGCTTTCAAAGGAAAGGCTAACAACCTCTTTTAGGCTGTATCTATCAACGTGCCAACTTTGGCCGGATCTTGAGGACCTATAGCCCTGTTGTCATTGCGCAAAGACACTGCCATATGTAGATCTTCAAGATCCGGCCAGATGTTTTGGGATGTGTATCAGCAACGCGCGAGATCGAACCATACCAAAAGGAGTTGTTTCATTGTTGCGCACTGCTTTTTTACTTTTTGCTTGGGTATGTCAGCTTCTTACTCTCTCCATGTGGCCGTTAACTTACAGTGTCAGGCAACACGATTCATGGACCCGGATATGTCGTAAAAAGGTGTCCTGCTACTTTCCTCTTTCAAAACCCCCTTCGCCAAAGACCTCTAATTCTCCAATTACCAAGATCTATCTATCTTCTGGGCGTAGCCACTGGTGGCAAGCCCCGTCCGACCCGACAGACAATGGAAGCTCGGATCCCCGACGATGGTCTGCTCTTCATGAGCGAAGAAGACTTCATCGTAGACTTTGCAAGCAATGACCTGGAAAGCTTGCCATGGAATGCTCCATATGATACGAATGACGCAGCGTTTGCCGACGTACACCAGGAAACAACCTTTGCAGATACAGTCGACTCAGTTAATACGAACTCATTTAACATTTACTCCGATCATATCAACCCAACTTTACATAACACTCAAGAGCTACCAGCTGCAGATACTACATATCTTGATATCTTACCTATGTACTGGGACTTCATGACGACGTCCACTGATCCTATCACTACTGCCCTTGCTGGTTCTATAACGACCACAGAGCAATCCAATTACTCCACTACCTACACAAGCTCTTCCTCACCGATAACTCGAGACAGTCCCACAGGACTATCACTGTCACAAATATCTGCCCCTTTATCGGCAAAAAATGCCGAAAACGCACCAAGCACATCAACCAGAAGACGAAGAACGAGGATGGAACCAGGCACCAGACCTTGTGACTTGAAGTAAGTCGAGTCATCCTGGCCAGATTTATATCCTTAATTCGTCTATACTAACACTTCCTTCGAGAAGACAGAAGCGAAAAGAAGATAAGCCTGAGAAGTGTCACATCTGCGGAAAGGGGCACCAATGGAACCGCGATCTGCAGAGGCACTATTGGAGTAACCACCCAGACGATGCAGTCAAGATGGGCCTTAGCCGAAGCGAGCACAAATGTAGGCACTGTGGAAAGGACTTTGCGAGACGAGATCATCTGAAAAGGCATTTGAAGAGGAAGCACGGGGGTAGTTGAGCGTGTGAGCTGTTGGGCAAACCTACTAAGCTGTAGTCTCCTTTGTCTTGAGTTTTAGTTACCTAGTTACAACAAATAAGTAAAACTATCATTGCTCTGTATAAGTAAGGTGTACAGCTCGCTGAGATAAGACTGTACAAATTCCTTCAGTAGTACAAGTCCCATTAATCAGGAGCTTGGTCTAAACTTATAACCTCGACACTAGCTTATAACAAGACTTGGGTAAACTCGTACGAACTTAGTATACTTTTTTAAACAATTGGTCTCTTGCCTCGAAGCCTGAAGTCGTTCTAGATAAATAACTACTTACACCTTAGTTGCACTCTATTTCCTTCTGGCCTCCAATATCAAAACAACATCTGTTCCCTAAACCCACGCCTGAGGGCAAAAGAGGAAGAATGTATACAACTGGTAGCCAAGAAAAGATCCAGAATAGCAAAAGATTAAGGACTCCGGTACAGGGAATCGAACCCTGGGCTCCGCGGTACTGATCCCTCAGCTGAAGATGAGAGCGCGAAATGTTAGCCACTACACCATACCGGATGTTGCTTAACGGAGCTCGAATGAGTCTCTATGATTGCCACGCGTGGAGGCGGAACACTTGCTCCTAGCCTACTTCCCATGAAGGGAATAGTGAGTCTCTTCCCAACTGCCATTCATTGTCTTTATCTAGGTACTTCTTGAAAACAGCAGAGTTTCTTTTGCGCTGTGCGCGATAGAGAAGCCTTAGCTGTACTGAAGTTAGGTAGGCTGAAAGGGTTGTTACACGAGCCCATCAGTCACCCAGCAACGCCTCTGCAGTAAACATACTGTGTTTGTGTTCTCCTTCTCGCTGAGCTGCCCTCCTCCTTTTTCATGCTTACCCCTCTTCCTCGAGCTCTTTCTCGAGCAACAAACACAACATCGTTTCAATTTTATCTGAGTGAACGAAGCTTTTGAAAGGTTACTAGGGGACGGTAGCTTGGAAAGATATCATCAGAGGTATGAAGCACACATACGTTCACTTCCTTGCCTATTCTGACACACACAGGCAACCGCGCTCGTGTCACCTTGTGCGATCATGTCTTCCAGTGAAGATACTGCTTCTGTCATGTCGCTTGACGACGAGCCTCTTCACCAAGCGCCTGAAGGCTACTATGTCGGGGTCGAGTGCCCAAATGAAGAGGAACAGTTCACTTTCACTTGTCCCTACGTTCACTGCGATGGCTGGATCTTCGCCTCTGCCGAAGAGTGCTAGAAGCACGACAAGAACTGGCACCAAGGTCCATACGCGTGCGGGCAATGCCATGTGAACTTTGCTGCTCAACCTGCACTTCAACGACATGCCAAGGCAAGCAAGCATAACACCAAGTGGATTTGTGAGGATGAGGACTGCGAGATGGTCGGAGAAGCTTTTGAGACAAATGCCCTCTTTCGCCAGCATATTCCAGACTCGAGTGGCCACAAGTACTGGTTTGCGGATGAGACTGCAGATGATGACGACTCGGTGTTCACACCATCTGTCAACTCTGGTCATCCGAGCGCAGAAGATGATGTTTTTGGGCCTTTTGCAGCAGATGGAAATATCTGTAAAGAGCCCTGTTGCCGACACTACGGTACGGATTACAAGTGCAAGTCCGAGTTCATCCGTCACGCAGACACAGGCGCACATCGAACTGCCGCGAATCTTAACAAAGTCTTGCTCTCCGGCGTTCCTACTGTCTCCGCACTCCAGGCCGAGCAGGAAGGTCTTCGATCTTTCCGTTGCACTTCTCGTCACTGCCACCGACACGGGGAAGTCTTTAGTACAGCAAAATCATTCTTCAACCACTTGAAAGACGACGAACATCGCGACGGGTGGTATGTCAAATTCGACGACGATGACCTAGATTACAGTAGCGATAGAGATGTCTTGCCCGGAATTCAGTTCTACGCTGGTGGCAAAAAGGGCAGATGCGTCAACGAGAAATGCCCTCGGTTTCGTTTCCAGTTTGACTCTTATGGCGCTATGAAGCAGCATAGTAGATCACTTGGTCACGCCCGGGCGGAAGAAGACATGGAGTTTACTGACGCGGACGAATCAGGCGAAGAACTCTGGAAGAAAAGCGCGGTACATGGCATGGAGGTCGCGGAGGATGGATTACTCTGGAAGTGCACCAAGCAAGGCTGCAAGAAGTTCAACGTTGTTATCAAAGGGCTTGGAAACGCCAAGAGTCACTACAACTCTGATACTCACCTCATGGCCGCGGATGAGATCGCCACTTCATCTGACGAATCCGTCGAACATATCGAGGGCATGGAGTCCTTGAAAGACGGCGACGGCTGGAGGTGCCTCAAGCGCGGTTGCCGAAAATTCAACAAACTATTCTCGCATCTGGGCAATGCCAAAAAGCACGCCCGCGGTGACAGCCATGCCTTGGCCGAGGAGCCCGACTCTGCAGATGAGAATCTCGACGGGTTGGAGTACTCGATGGAAGAAGGTGTCTGGACTTGTGTTAAACCTGGCTGCAAGCGAATGAACTCCATCTATCAGCATCTCGCCAGCGCCCGAAAACATGCCAATGCGAACTTTCATGCTCTAGCTGAGGAACCTGCGGAGGAAATTGTGGAGGATATCGAGGGCATGGTGGCCTTGGATGGGGGGCGTGCTTATATGTGTATCAAGTTCGGCTGCAAAGGCTCGGGCAAAGCCTACTCCAACGTCCGCTCTGCCAAGTTGCATGCAAACGCTAGAACTCACATGAGGGCCGGTGAGGTTTCAGCTTTCATGCCCAGTCAGTTCAATATGGACTTGTTCGCAACTCCGACGCGAACTCCGAGGAATCTACTGCTTACACCCATGGAGACAGAGGAATCGACCATCGTTGTCACCCCGGGGAGCCCTTCTGCTGGTCGTGGAACCAAAATAGGCGCACGAAACAATACCTCTGCTCGGATTACGAAGACGATTCGACTACGAAGGCCTTCGGTTCATAAGCAGGAAGAGCTTGAGAGAAAAAACCGAGAGCTAGAAAGCCGTGTCGCCAAGCTAGAGATACAGATTGGCCAGGTCCTTGGTTTACAGAGTCCTCCAATCAAGAACAATGCGCACTATCAGAGTTCTCAAATCCATCAGGGCTCCCGGGATTATCAGAGTGCGCAGTTGTTTCAGCAGGTGCCTGAAGCTGCTCAAATTCCTGAGACTACATGCGCGCGTGTTGAAGGTTTATCCAAGTTTGTGCGGGCAGCGTACCGTCCTAAGATGTCAATGCCCGTTGACGAGGATGAACTGTAAGAGGTATTACGGTTGTTGTTATAACGGAGGGAAGGGATATTCTCAAGTAAACAAGAGGGCATGTGTTGAAGAAAAGCAAGGTTTATGTTTCATGTTGTCATTTTACAGGATCGGTCGGAATGTGTTGAAAACAATTGCTTTTAGATGCTGGCTGTGCGTAAGGGTCTAGATATAAGACATGATCGAGAATCAAATTTGTGTAAGTTCAGTCCCATTTCGTCAGAACTGCCCATCCTCAGTCTTCCCGAAAAATACCATTCTCCGCTTCGGTCTGAGGAATATGTGCCTCCGTGTCACTCCCGGTGCCACCAAGAAAATTCTCAACCTTCGTCCTCGCCGCTCTCATCTCAATCCTCTGCTTCCGATTGTTCGTCATCGCTAGCCATGAGTGTCATGACCTCCATGTCATCTGCCACATCATCCAATGTCATCTCCTGGTCCTCCTCAAAAAGCTCCCCTGTGCAGATGAGTCGACCTCCAACGATCTCAAGATCGATCGCTCCATCGGTTCCAAAGTAATGTTCGTAGGACTCTTGATCGATAGTTAACTCCATCTGGGGAAGATCTTGTACCTCGTCCTCGTCTTCGGCGAGGTAAACTTCGAGGTCAACGATGGAGTGCTGGGCTGGAACGCCCATGACTTGAGCTCCGTGGAAGATGTTTGGTTCGTCGTAGTCGTCTGGATCATCATACGAGGGCTCAGGGTCAAAGATGTTGGATGCTTCGATCTCGCTGTTGGCGAGATGATCGTCATTTCCTGTAACCTCAGACTCCATATCGGAGTCACTGTCGGAGTCAATGGTTTCGGCATCATCTGTGACCATGAGCGTGTCGTTCTCAGAGTCTTCGGGGACAAGGTTGACGAAAGTTCCCTCAGAAGAGTCTGTATCTTCATGGATGCTGCCCTCAGGAGAACTGTGGTCTTCGTCCCCTTCGTTATGTGCGAGCAGAAACGGGATCGCTTCTTCTGCTGCAGCACCCTAAACTGGCAGCAAGTTAAGTCCGATCTGAATGTCCTCCAGTGCAATACCCAGACCTCTAGCTTCGTCCAGCTTGCGGTTGCTCTTCCGGACAATATCCCTACGGACCATAATGCTAGTCTCCTGCGCTTCAAGAAGATTCAAGGCATCTTCTTGCAGAGTATCGTGAAGAGACACTGTATCGGAGTCCCAAGTGCGGCCGGTCCATGTAGCAAGACAGTCATCTCCGATGGAGATGTCGTTGAGTTTGGCACCGTTCTGTTTCGCTTCCTCCAGGCGGTGGTTGGAGTTGTAGAAGATGTGGTTCTTGAAGTCCGCGGTCATCAGATTGAGGAGCAGAATGTCCGTTAATCGCTGAGTCATGGTGCTCAAGTTGAGGTTTTGTAGATGTAAAGGTGAAGTTACTGGCTGTGAGAAGAAATGAGAAGAAATGAGAGATGTTGGTTGAAGATTGAAGAGTGAAGATGGAAGATGGAAGATGGCGGTTATAGAATTAAGGGCCAGTGAATCACGGCATACCTACGCAGAGTCAATCAAGGCCACCTATAGTTTATCTCTATATCATTGAGATAGAAGTTTCAAAATGTAAGTGTTGCTGCCATTGGTTCGGCAGACACAATTCGAAGATTCAATATCAATTTAGTTAATCTTAAAAAAAATCTAAAGACAAATCCATGGCACTTTGTGACTTGGGCCTCTCGTCAGATAGAATTGGAGCGCATATTCGTGTCCTCTCTGGCAGTTTTCCAGCTGGTACAGTCCTGATCTCAGGGATGCCTTTCGTTCTCAAGTCTCGTTTTCGCCGTAAGGTTCGCCTTCTGGTAGAGTCTGCTCGCAAGCTGTTATTGTCATTGCAACAGCTCCTCTTCAGAACTCTTTATAGGATGTTGTTCGTTCGTCGTTTTGTCTTCCTTTCCCCCGTCAACTCCCCTTCACTGGATGTCGCCCATCTCAACCTCCTCAGCCTTTTCGCCCTCGCCCTCAGCCTCTGGCGCATCTATCTAAGTCAGCACTCTATTCATGACCGCCGAAGTGGCAACTTACCCTTCATCTCCGCCTCGCCCTCAGCTTCCATCTTTCTCTTCATGGCATGCGCCAGTCTCTTCTCTATCTTGCGCGCCTTCTTGGCGCTCACCTTGGCTCTAGGTCCGCTCGTGGGCAAAAGACCTGGCCTTGCGCCTCGTGTAGTATCGGCCTTTGCGACCTTATCCTTAGGTGCTTGTGATCGCTTGCGTCGCTCCTTGCGGGCACTTGAGGCGCGCGCCGCAAGACGGTTCTTGGAGGGGCCGTTGGGGTTGCCGACGGAAGGCATTGTGATTGTATGTGTTGGTTGTGGTGATGGAAGTTCTGCGATAAGAAGTTCTCAACTTTTTTTTACTGGGGTCGAAAATCTCGGTGGAGGTTCGGTAAGGAATGCGCTAAAGTGTGCCCCGCCGCGGGGATCGGCAGAGCTGCATGTTCCAGAACGCCTCCTAGGAGAGGAAAGAAAACTCAGGACCTTGATCCTAAAGGACAAAAAGACATAGGTAAATTAGCATGAGTTTGGGATATCTCTACTAAGCCTGGAATATCTTTGCTGAGTTTATTTTTGATACCATATATTCAGGTCTGAGTTTTCTTGCCCCGCAAGGCCTCCTCCAGAAGTTCAACACTTGAAGACAAGACGTATGTATTCATGAATCCCAATTAATTGCGCCTGAAATGTCTAAGTAATACAATTCTGAAAATGCCGCTTCCCATGCCATCAAGTAGTCATTTCAACATCATGCACATGCCATCAAACTACGCCAGATACCCCTATGAACATTCTAGGTATGCACCATCCCGTCTCCAAATGTACATCTCGCGAGAGACTATATGTCCTCCCTTAAGCACGAGTTTGCTGGTTTCTTCCAACAGTAGCTGCGCTATCCTCGCTATTGGGTCCGAGCATTCTTCGACTAGGATCGTCGTCGTCGTCACTCATCAACCCATCTAACTCGAATTCTTGGGCATCTCGCAGTTGACCGTCTTCTACCGCGAGCCCGTTGGCGTAGTGGTTGTTGCCGAGCTCCTTGGTATCCAATACAGGATGAGCAAGGCGGTCCCAGAGACCAATGAGCATGTTGACGAAGAGGAACATGATCGAGGCGAGCGAATAGGTAATAAGGATGTACGAAACGTGGTCCATGGCGGAGCCAGCAACAAGATTCATTTGCTCCTCTGTAGCACCCATGAAAAGGAAGCCAGCGGCATACATGAACTGCAAATGTTAGCTGAGGTTTTAATGTGAAATGTGATTCGACTTACAAAAACTGGGACAAACTGGAAGCTGTTGGCAGTTCGACCATCTTCTGAGATGGAGTGAGCGTCCCTGAGCACAAAAGCAATCTCAATGATACGAGTGATGCCCACGACCATAAGAGTGTAGCCAAACATCGTGTGCGTAGCAGCGCTGACCATCAGCTCCTGAGGATGCGCAGACATAGCCCAGCCAGTAATGAAAATAACGAAGCCGGGAATGAAGTTGCGCTTGGGGTTTCCGTCGCGGTCCTTGCTGAGCCAAATACCAGCCAAACCAGCACACCACCAGATAATTCCCATTGTCGTATGTTGCCAATCGTTCTTGACCCAGTCGGTTCCCCAGCGATGCTCAGTGAATGTGTTGACGCAGCCCCATGCAGCGATCGCAACGCTATCGTAGAACTCCTGCGAGCGACCATGTCGTCGGATCCAGAGCTGGCCAACAACGAGGATAATGGTGAGAAGAATTCCGTAGGCGATGAAAGCGCCACCCATAATAAAGTGAGCGGCGCATTGTCCGGTATGATCTCCTTGACAAAAGCCAAGAGCTGTGATTCCACCAAAGATCATCTGTGTCCATGACAGGACTGGCATGAGCTTGCCGATGAAAGAATGGCATGGGCGGATCAGCTTTCGAATTCGACCATTAATGCCTTTCTCCCAATGTCCTTTGAGGTAGAGTCCAAGAACAACTTGCGCGGCGAGGAGAAGCTGAAGAATGTGCGCAAATTTGCCATGGACGTGATTCGGAATGAACTCGCGGCCCTTATGAGCATGACCAAGGAAGAAGCCAAGGATAGCGAGAATGGTGCCAACAGCTTGGGTCGGAACGTGCCATCGATTCTTGGTCATCTAGTGGCCGTCAGTACTGTGCCAAGGCTGAGTAGTTTTGTTTACTTACGCCTAGAACCATGCCGACAGGGAAGATAACGCCGTACGCTAACATCTGAATGAAGATGTGAATCCATAATACCGTATCCTGCTGCTCGTCAGCCACTAACTCCAGTTCTCAAACCTGTAGAACGCACCAAAGGTTCCAAAGAGACTGTTTCGCCTTCGGGAATATGGCTTGCATCGTGGTCGTGGGCTTGTACAGCTGTGACAAGAAGCGCAATTGTCACAACCTTGGATAGCGAAGGCGCCGCAATGGCCTTCGACTTATAATCGCCAATCATGGCCGTATCGTCCTCAAATTTCCGTCAATATCGCGATCCAATATCTCCGTGCAAAATTGTGAGCAATCGCAGTTTCGGCTCCGTTCTTCCCGTCGTAACAACCGTCGGTGGGGGATCGTCGATGTCTAGCGGCGTCCAGATGATTCAATTGTAGGCAGTAATCGCTGGAGGATCGTGGCTCGATAAGCGAGTAGATAGCGAGATGACAAGAGCAGAGCAAATAAAAGGACTGCGTTTGTACAATGAGGCAGAATAAAACTCCTCTAGGGAGAGCAAAAATGAGGAGGAAGAAGGAGATGAGGAAATTGGGCAAACTCAAAAGTTGTTCCCTTGAGTCGGTTCAAGTAAAAAGGCCGCCAACCTCGCCCACTTCCCACTTCCGGGCCTCCAAAAACTTGAGGTTCCAGGGGGCTCCGTCGATTGAGGGCGTCATTCCGGAGCATTCGGCAGCCTGTCATTACACAAAGCGCGACGGCGATTGGTTGCTTTTGATATCAGGCGTAGTGCTTTTCCACTAATTCCTGCAGTACCAGGGAGGGTGCCGGAGCTTTATTGTCCGCTAATAGAGCAACGTGCGTCGACTGGGTCCGATATACCCGAATCCAAGAATGCCATGCTTACACTCCTCGAAGAGCGAGCAAACATAAGACTTTAGAAGAAGAGGTAACTAAAATAAACTCAGTAAAGAGTCCCTTAAGCTTGGACTAAGCTGCCTAAGTCTTTTTGTCAGTCAGGATCAATGCCTGAGTTCTTTCCTCCCCTAGGCACCTACGCATTGGTCCTCTTGGTCCCAAGAGTGAAGTAACGTATTTTCGTGAGCAGCTCATTAGACGTCTAGGTACTTAGTTGTCAATTACCTAAGATTATTAACAGAAATTCTTGAGAATACAGCTCATCCCGAATCCGGCAGAAGAACATCGCTTGTTCGATGGTTGGACTCGTCCCCAAGAATTAGAAGTCTTGGCATTAATGGGCCCGAAGCTGATCACTGATTTATGGGACTTCATTTTACGTGTGCTGCGTTTATATGTCCGTCAAGGGAAGGAAATAGAACTTCGAAGCTTTGTCTTAAGTGACAAGAGGATTTGGGCAAATTGAGTATAACCTAGTACATATTTATTAGCCCTCGCCCTGCCTTAGATTATGTATTTTTAGCACTTTGGTTTAATGTCAGGCGTTTTCTTACTCCCAGCTGTCTATTATCCAGGACAGTTCTTCTCTTAGCATTCACCAGTATGATACTGACTTACCCTAGCTGGCTACCCTAGGAGAAGTTAGAGTTGATAGCGCATCTGGCTTAGGTACCATGGATTTTGACTCCATTCATTGGATGAACCGTATGTGATCAAGTCTATATTTTGGCGATCGGTACTCCTAGCTACAAAGACTGTTGTTAAGAGTTTTTGAGTCGGCTTAGGACTCCAGCTTCGCTTCCTTCTCCTTCAGTATTTCCTTAGCCTTTCCCCATAGCTCTGCCTCCATGTCCCTCTCAACTCTTGTCCCTCGACTGTTCAGCCAACCTGCTCCAATGTTGCCCACAGCTCCAACTCCGTTGGGCGTTGGTTGTGGGATGATGGGACCGGTCTTATTCAGGCGAGGCGGTGGAGCAAGACTGATGATATTGGCTTCTTCGAGTGCCATGACCTGGCGTTTGATCTTGACGTCGACGGTGTGAAGTGCCCGGAAGAATTGATCCGTCGCAGAGGCGAAGGCTTCTTTTTGTGTGCCAGGATCTAGTGATGGCTTAGTAGGTTCGGCTGATGGATCCATGTTCTGGTCAGTTTCCGTGGATTTTGGTATTGTGAGTGCGTTGAGTGCTGTGGCAGTGTGTTTCATGAGCTGGATAATTTGTTGATCGATGGCATTGAGTTGGCGGATGTTCTCTTCAATAGTGAATGGTTCGTT